TTAGAAACATTTAAACTATCAGCTTTATAAAAATGCCTTCTAAGATCAATGGTAAAAAAATGTCTTTGAGTGAGTAAAGTCTGAGGGTCTTGGCAAAGATCATGCTGATTTGAAGATTGTGGAATGGCAATGCAGAATCACAATAAGAGAAAACCACATCACTAAAGGACTACCAACAGCAGCAACAACTAAAATGGATAGCATATATAAATTGAAAAGATAATAATGATAGATAATCAAGATGCTGATATTCCACACCACTTCAAATAAAAGGTTAGGAAGGAAACCTCCATCAATACTAAAAGAACTGATAGAGCAATCAAACTTGAGGAAACTGTTTTTCCCAAAAAGAAGTGTTTTAAGAGAAAGATTTTATAAATATCAACCCAAAACAGTACTGACTGCTTGCTCAATGAATGCCAACTGTTTTTTTTATAAGGAAACAGCTAATACCATAGTATGGAAAAAAAAATGTTCTTATTTTATGATCTCATCGAGTACATATACTGGAATCCAGAGACCAGTGACCAATCCTTTAACTTGGCCTGGTTTGCTGATAAACATATTTACTTTCAAATGTGATTGAAATCTATCTCTTTCTTCATATTTTTGGTGATGTCTATCAATAGATATCCATAAATCTGTGACTTAAAACCCATAAACAAAAACAGCTTTAAGTATGTTACAAAAGAGATTAAACCATGTAATAATTTTATTTATTTTTTAAAATAAATTCACTCCACTGACATGCAAGCTGTGGTGGGGATAAATTTTTAGGGTCCAGAGGCATGAACAGATATGGGGGTCTTTTTGCAACAAGGATCCTAGTGCCAAAAATATAGGATATGAATAGATTCAGGCAAGCTCAAAGAGCACATACAGCCAGAGTAACCAATTGAATCATGGATACCAGTGACTGTCTAAAAAATACAATATAATTTTAATATTATTTACTATAATTTACTATTATTTTACCAGAAAGTAAATTTTAATATTATTTACCATAATAGTAAAGTGCAGTGTGCTCCATCTGTGAATGTAATCTTCAGGCCATGTGTATCATGTAGTCATTTGACTATTTATGCTGGTCAATTAAACATTATGGGTAGTAAGATCAGCCACCACAACACACATGGTCTGATAATTGAATTCAAGCATGAAACAGTATCTACTTTTATATTTTTATTTATATATGTTCTTTCTCTGATATTAATTACTTTACTTATAAATATAGTATACCCTATATATATATATATATATATATATATATATAAAAAACTTGTAGAAATTCAAGAAAAATTGAATAAAAAGCTTAATCTCAGAACCATGTGTGTGTTTGCATGCATATATATTTATGTGTACAGACATAAATATTTTTGTTGAAAAGCATTTTATCTATTGCATGTTTCAATTTATTTTTTATTTTTTTCAGTACATGCAAATTTTACTTTTTTTTTATTATTTAGCAGATCATTTTAAAATTAGGTTTTATCTTATTATTTCCAAGTTTTTTTTTGTTTATTTTTTACAAATTTATTTTCTCTTTGTTTTATTTTTTTCATTTTTATTAATTATCCTAAAATTAGTTTTTTGCTTATTTATTTTATTTTTTCAAAGTGTCATTTTTTTTTGTTATATGCTTCATTCCCATTTATTTTTTTTTTAAGCCATTATATATGAATTATTTCAAATTTTCTTTATTTTTTACTTTCTTAGCTTTTTTTATTTCTGTATTATTATATTTCCCCCTATTTTTTTTTCACATTCATTTGTTTCTTTCTTATGATCAGAGATGGGCTAAATTCAAAGAGTGCTTTTTCCCCTTAGACACAGCCTTCACAAAAAACAAATATAGCAATGAATAACTCATTTAACATCTAAATTTTATTATTCCACCCTCATTAAATTCTCAATTATAATACAATTTAGAACTCCCTTCCTTGTTTCAACATCCTTAACACCAAGAGAGAAAAAAAGTAAGGTAATGAATAAAAAGAATAAAAACTAAACTCAATTTCAAAAATAAATAAAATGTGTCAAATTAGAAAAATAACTGCTTATCAAGCATTTAACACAATCTTCTTCTTGTGTTGGATCAAGTTTTTTTTTTCTTCAGGAAGAAAAGACTGCATTGAAAAGAGCTTTTTGATTGGTTGGTTTTCTTCCCTTGTTGAGGAGCAGGATGAGGAGAAATAGAGGGGACCAAATAATAAAAAGGAAGAAAATAATAAGGATGGAGGGGGAGTAATTAAAATGAATGAAGGGTGGGGGACTTGAAAAGCTTAAAACTGACAAAAATAATAGCTGTAAATAGAAATTATTTCAAGACAATAGAATTATCTCAATGTATGTACATTGCCTACATGCCCTGAATATAGAAGCAGTTACCAGAAACAAAGTAGGGTTGAACCCATGGCCCAAAACAAGCAAAAGAAAGCAGCTTCTTCTTTAGATGGAATGTGTGTGTGTGTGTGTGTGTGTGTAAAAATTCAGGACTAAATATATATTTCTAAAATAGGAGAAAAGGACTATGAATAAAGGTAAAAGGAAATCTTATATTAGCCGACTTATTCCATCCTCTGGTGGACTCTATCAAGGCAAATTTAAGGATTATATTTTGCAATAAGTATTAATAAAGTAAAAATATTCTTAGTTTTTCAGAATTTTTTTAATTAAATTAAGGTAAATTAGGGAGAAGATTAAGTGATGTAATTTAATGTCTAATAAACAAAATTGAGCAAAAGTTGATTTTTTTTTTTTATAATGTAATTATTATTTTAGTTTGGGATTAATTTATATATTTTAAATAATACAAGGTTTGGAGTTTAACCATTTTCTTTTAATTTAAATATTCTGAAAAACTAACTTTACTTCTGTTTATGAGTACTTATTACAAAATAAATTCTTTACATTTGCCATGCTACAGTTCATTAGAGGACAAAAGACTGTTTGATATTGACCTCAGTGTCTATATATATATATATATATATATATATGAATGTATGTGAGAGATTCATAGAAGATTGAAGCTCAAATACAGTAAATTCAACCGTGCTAACTGAACGCTCCTCTGTGGCCAAATTGGTAAAAGGCACGTCAAGCTAAATGACAGTTCCATATAGGATACAGGTTTGAATTCTGTCAGAGGACAAATATTTTCTGTGAAAATTTCTCGGACATTCAGGCCAGTAAATGTTGTTTAATACTGTTTATTATAAACAGAGCATTTACTTAAATATTTGTATCTATAAAAATAATGTATAAACATAAAAATGTCTTAATATATATATATGCACACACACTACAATTCAAAAGTTTGAAGCCACTCTTGGTAATTTTTCTAATTGGCTCAAAAAGTAGTTGTTTTGTACTTTAAATAAGAGAAAATTATGATACATGTTTAAAAAAATATTGAAACATGATTTTTTTGTTAGAAATTTTATTATGTCAAAAAAAAAAAAAAAAAAAAAGGGTTTTTTTGATTAAATTTTGCTCTTGTCAAAATATCCTCCTTTAGCCTTGATCAAATTTTTGGCATTCGTTGCAAAAATTGGTTCTATTCTTTTTTTCAATCACTCTAGGAGTTCTTTTTCATTTTTTCACTTTTCTATCAAGTTCATTCCATGCTAATTCTGGGGGTGCTACAAAATTTTTGAACTGTAGCATATATATATGGGTTAGGGGTGCCAGGGATGAAAACTCATTAGATAGATCTCCAGAGCAGCTTACTCACTCCTTGGAGGAACCTCTTCTTGATTAATCATGTCTTTAGGGGTTTTGCCATACTCACCACGCTTGGCCAAATGCAAGTTGGTGTCTATTTAACCCACAGTTGGGAGTTTTTTGAATTCAGGGATGTCCTTCTCTTAGACCATTTGCTACTCAAGGACCCAGTCTATCCTTTTTTCTTTACATATATATATATATATATATATATATATATATATATATATATATATGCATGTATATGTGTATATATATATATATATATATATATATATATATATATATATATATATATAGGTAACTATACTAGTTTCGAAAAAACCTTTTCAATTTTTGATTTGCCAATAATCAAATCAATCTCAAGGAAAAAAGGTTTTAAAAAAGAAAGAGCTAGAAACATGAAAGTCTGTCGAAAAAATCGCACAGATACAGGTTTAAAGCCCAAAGACAAAAACCCGACACGAGTAAACAACTAACTAACAAAAGAGCTCAATACAACCGTATCTTTTACCCCCCCCGGTGTTCTTGTGTTGTTTTACTTTTTCTTTTGTCACGTGGTATGATTTCGATTATCGCCTATATATATGCTGTTTCTCTTTTGCCTCTTTTTTTAGCCAGCTTTCCTGATGATCTGCTTAGGTGAAACCTGTAGGTTTGTCTGGCTCACTAGGTTTATATATATATATATATATATATATATATATATATATATATATATATATATGTATATATATATATATTTAAGGATGCAAGCTGTTAAATTATAATGAGTTTTATTTACTGACATGTGTTTTTGCTGTATGAGTATTGCTTGATGGATCATAACTCTGTTTTTACTATTTGATTTTACAAGTATTTTGGTATTGTTTATGAGCAGCAATTTGGTGTTACTATGATCCTTATATTGCTTATTAATGTGTTAACAAATCCAGGATATTATTCTGGCTTTAGATTTAAATACATCTTTTCAATTTATTAAAAAATTTAATTTACTCTTAAAATTGCAGATGATGATAATATTCTGACCTTTGGGTTTTGTATCCGGAAAAACTATATTAAACAATATAGCAACAGGATAATAAGAATGTGTTATTTATAACAAATCAAAATTTAAATGAGCCATAGAACATTAAACAAATATCTAATGTAGTAAAGGAAGTTGGGTGTGCTGAAAATATTTGTGCCTGAACCAACTTTCAAAATTTGAATAAATGCATGAATATCAGAAAATATTTTGGTAGCTTTTCTTGTTAAGGATAAGAATGTTTCAGCACTCATTCTGTAGGTAGGCAGCTAGGGATAGGTGTGCAGATAGATAGATATGAACAGTGAGATAGATAAATAGTAAATAGATAGATATGAACAGTCTGAGATAGATAGATAGATATGAACAGACTGAAATAGATAGGTAGATATGAACAGACTCATATTGATAGATAGATAGGTAGATATGAACAGGCTGAGATAGATAGATATGAATAGATTGAGATAGATAGATAGATATGAAGAGACTGAGATAGGTAGATATGAAAAGACTGAGATAGGTAGATAGATATGAAGAGACTGAGATAGATAGGTAGATATGAACAGACTGAGATAGATAGATAGATATGAACAGACTGAGATAGATAGATAGATATGAACAGACTGAGATAGATAGATAGATAGATATGAACAGACTGAGATAGATAGATAGATAGATATGAACAGACTGAGATAGATAGATAGATAGATAGATATGAACAGACTGAGATAGATAGATAGATAGATAGATATGAAAAGAATGTGATAAATCTGGCCATCCCAAGAGAGTTCTTAAGGAATAGAAAGAATTGGGCAGTTCTGAACAGACTCAGTGAGATAAATAAATAATCAGATTTTGTGTGGAGATAAATTGAAAATAGCTAAAACCAAAACAGAAAGCAAGGATCAACTTTGATAAACAGACCAAGACTTTACGGCTTGGCTCATTGCATAAATAAACAGAGACTAAAATTGGATGACTTTTACCGAGATAAACAAACTGACATAAGGCAAAGAAAGTTAACCAAAGTCAACTGTGTTAGTTGGGGAGGGGGGGGAGAGAAGAAAGGTAAATATCTAGATAAGTATGAATGTAAGCAACAGGAAGTAAATAATTTACATAATTTAGGTCAAGTCTGTTGATTGAGAAAAATTTCAATAAAGTATTTTTGTGACTATGACACAAAAATACAATTATTACTTTCATGAAAAGCATTTTAAAGACTTATGATCAGATATAGTCAATAAATTTAAATTTAACACATCATTTTATGATGGAAAAATAGTTACAATAAGAAAGGTTTGTGTTTGACTTGCAGTTTTGGTAGACGACTTAATCAACGGTGGTTCTGATTCTGTTTTCTCATATAAATAATTGTGTTGAGAATGAAATTCTGTATTATGCCAAGCAGAAATTTAGCAGTTACAGCAAACCTTCCTGTCATATCAATCAACCTATATGGTAGTGAATGCTGGACAATTTCCTCACAGATGAAGAGACTTGAGATGATGAGAATTCTATGGACAAATGATTTAAGCAACAAAAAGTTTTAAGAAAAATGGAAAGGAAAAAAATGACACTTTTTGATCAGAGTCCATCTTGCACATTTACAAAATCGACCCTTCATCTGTGTATTGAATACTGCTGCTATGATATGGCCTGGTGCTCCTGCTATTCATCTCAAGGTACTTGACAAAATCCAAAGAAGGATCTGCAATGTAATCAGTCCTGACTTGGCATCTCGACTTCAGTCACTTTCTCACTGACATAATCTGGCTTCCCTCTGTCTTTTCTACAAATACTTTCATGGCAACTGTTCTGATGAGCTTTTTTTTCCTGGTGCCCCAACTGCAGGAATTTAAGCATGTCACTAGATTGGAATCTACTTCCCATTTGTTTATTGTTAAAATAGTTAAATGTAACCACCACTTCTACTCCAACAGTTTCTTTTCTTGCACTTCCCAACCGTGGAACTCCCTTCCATTTACCTGCTTTTCTGATAAATACAATCTTCAAAAATTTAAATGCACTGCCAATCATCATCTTCTCTCTTATTGAATCCCATTCATATGTCCTCCATGTATTCATATTCCCTATATACGCTCACTTTTACTCCCTGTAACCTCCTGTATACTAGTAGCATTCCTAGCTTGCTTGGAATGAAAAAGATTTTAAAAAAAAAAAAAAGGAGAAAGACACTGAGAACCAAAAAGTGGCAATGGAAATTTCTAGTATATATCATGAAGAAATAGTTCACAAGACATATTGAAAGCAAGAGGAAGAAAAATAGTAAATAGCCAACATAAAAGAATTGTGCAAATTGATGATAGAATAAGATTTGGTTTGGTTTGTTTTACAGCATATCAACCTCAATGAGTTATTAAGGCCAAGAGATTTTTTATTGCTGGTAATATTTTTTTTTGAAAAATGTATTGCTGCTAATATTTTTTTTCCACAAATGTATAACAATTTTTCATAATGTGTCTTATTGCCTTACTTGGAGTGAAATGATATATATATATATATATATATATATATATATATATATATATATATATATATATATATATATATACATACACACATATATATATATATATCATATCATAATTTTCTTAGGGGTACAGAACTTTATTATGGAAATAAAAAAGGCAAGACAAGCTTTACTGTTCATGATTAAAAAGAAAAAAAAAAAACAGCCAACAGGTTTCACCCTCACTCAACAGAGCATGAATCGAGGAAATAAATGTTACAATATAAAATACATGTAATGTATTGGAATCATAATCATGATTGAATTCATCAAACCTACATATTTTCTGTTTTCTTTTTGTATTTGTAGGCCTGATGAATTGGATCATGATTACGAATCCAATGTAATAAATTATAACCATGGAATATTAGGGTTTTAGCCTTTTACATTGTATTCTTGCTCTGTCTTGGACATTAAGCTCTACCTGGATTCTATCCTCTTGGAAATTATATATATACCATTAATATTATATATATATATATATATATATATATATATATATATATATAGACCACTAATATTATATATATATTAAATACAGGATATTGATTTTTTTTTTAATACAGTGCTGAGTATCCTGAGGACAGAGCTACATATATAGTATAAATGTTATATATTGTTTTAAAATCTTATTAAAATGTGACAAACATTTGTGTAACTAAACATTTTATGGTCATCAAGCTCATAATATAATCAATTTGAGCTTCAACTGAATTAATCATCAGACATATTTATGCCCATGAAACTCTGACATGTTTTAATAAGATCTAAAAAAAATGTAACATTAAACTATATATATATGTATGTCTGTGTGTGAAGATTTATATACATGCAAGCACAAGGTGTGTCCAAATGTGAATGTAGTTGTTACACATTAATTAGCAAAATGATTTAATAATGTCAATTTAGCAAAATGTAAATTCAGAGAAAAACACACATAAAAACATCAAATAAAGTCGACACATAATTTTGCTTTAGGTACACAAATATATCTTATGATTACAAGCTCAAAATCCTAACCACTAAGCTATCACCTATTGGTTAGAAAAAAAAATCAAACATCTCAAGTGTTTATTATAGAGAAATTACATACATGGATAAAAAGCCTTATGTGGAAAGGAACATGAAAAAAGAATCGATAAAAAGCAACACGGTCCATAATTAAATCTTTGAAAAATAAAGCAAAATTTACCTTGGCAATTTTTCGATGCTTTTTTCTCGTCACTGTCAAGTGGAGGTAAATTCCCATCTGCAAAAACAAACAAGAGAACGATAAAGGTTACTAAATGTCTTCTTCTGGATTTTACGAGGACTTTTTTATTTTTTATTTTTATTACTTCCACCCTGATCTTTTAAAATAATATAGAATATTATACAAGCATTGCTTACTTATTGATAACAAAAACAAGTATAATGAGAAAGACGAAAGATATCGACATCATATACACCCAACTCTTAACTAAAAGCATAGAAAGATAACAAACAAATGAATTGGCTTAAAAAGAAAACACTCGCTGTTATACTGTAAATCTTGCAGAAGTTGTGCCTGAATGCAAAAGCCTGTTGGCAAGGAATATGAACCGTTTGCAAAAATATTGATATAGGTAAATATTACTTAAAGTGTGAAACGTAAGATTTCATTGGGTGGCCTGCAGATGATTTTTTAATTGTAATGTTTATGTTTATATCGAGAAAACCCAAACATACGTTGGGAAATTTTATTCTGAAGTTAGTCTAACGATATCAAGATATGCTATATAGATTTCAAAGTCAAATAACTTTCAAAGTGAAGGTACAAGACTGATCGCTGGCATCTGTGGTTAAAAAGAAACAAAAACAAAATTGCCTTTTTTTTGTTTTTGTTATTTATATCTTTTTGGACCAACTCAGTTCAACTCAAAATAGAAATTTTATTTATTTGCATCTATTTTCTTGCATAAAACCAAAAAAATATCATAGAGAGTGATATTTGACGAACTTGTCATGTAGGCTACAATGAGTAAAGATTGTACATTTTTAATAAATACTTTTACTGCCGCATTGTTCCCTGGCTGTGCTGGCCCATTTTGGGAAAAATAGGAAATAGCTATTCACTGGAAATATATGACTATATATAGTTATTTCTCATAGGTGCCACCATTTTGGTTTCAGTTAATAACTCTGTGGTGTAAATGAAGCTAAATGACACCACAACACACAATATAATAAAAATGAGTAACAAAACAGGACTTAGTGTACAGTATTACACGTCTATGTTCATTTGGAAGTATTGCAAAGCACAAGTTAGTTTATAACAAATCCTCCGGATGTTTTGAAAGTGTATATATATGTCAACAGCAGGCAATGTATTACAATGTATAAGTATGTCTACAGCAGCTGAAGTTTTAAGTGTTCTTTGGTGCAGCAATTGCCATAGTTACATTTTGAATCTACTGTGGTTAATTTGTAGATCTGCCATGAGAGGGGGGGGAGAAAAAAAAGAAGATAAAAACAATAATTATTAACAAACAATCATATTCTCACAGAGGCTTTCCAACCACCAACATGAATTTAAAAAAAAAAAAAAATGAAAGGAATTTAGATTATTTTAAAAATAAAAGCAAAAATAACAAATAATCAAAAAGAACTGAGAAAAAAAAATATTTTGGAAAAAAAAAAGAAAAAACACAAAAGAATTATCTTGTGATATGTGCCGTGAAGCTTACCATAATCTTGTTCAGTGTTTCCCTAACGTGGGCATTAGTAATTTTTCTTGCTATTTTTGTTGGCAAATTCTTCAATGGCATTGTTAAAAAATATTTCACTTGTCAATTGTTACTCTATAGACAGTAGATAAAAAGATATATGCCATAGTTTAAGTTACTTGATATCAAAAAAATCCTTAAACTGTGAGTAATGTCCCCAATATTAAAACCATTTTTATTTCAATACAGCCTATACAGGCACAAGAGTGTCTCCACCATTTTATGGCGGAAACACTCTTGTCATTCCAAGCTATTCACTGGTTCCTTATACCACTCTAGTAAGTAAATGATTGCTGCTGTTATACTCTATCTCCATGTTTACCAATGTGGGCATTAGTGCCCCATTGTGGGCTCTGTTATGTTGAAAGGAGGCACTGGGAGGTTTTACTTAATTGGGCAGGCAGTGAACATACTCAAGGATGGTGGGCGTTTATCCATTTTTTTTTTTTTTCAAATTTTAAAAAATTATTCAATATTGGCTACAAAAGGAAATTTCTGAAAGGTATCTAAAGCTGTGGCAAGCTATCAAACTTTTCTTCATTGCTTTTCCAACTTCCTATATAGCTGAATGTTGTTTCAACACAGTTACATGGCTTCTTACTAAACAAAGAAAACACCTGCAAATTACAAAATGAGGTGATCTACAATTACTTCTAAGCAATATGGAACCTAGAGTAAGAGCCTTAGCCAGTAAGCACTAAAGTTAACTATCGCATTGAAATATTGAGATAAGCTATCAAATTAAAGATTTTTTTTTTTTTTTTTAGCATTTTAATGGTTTGGTTTGTTTTATGGCATATCAACCTCAATGGGTTATTTAATACCGACAAAATTTTTATTGCTGCTAATATTTTTTTCAAAAATGTATATGCTGGTAATATTTTTTTCCTTCAAAACTCTATTTCTGGTAATATTTTTTCTTCAAAAATGTATCACTGGTAATTTTCTTTTTCAAAAAATGTATTGCTGGTAATATTTTTTTTTTAAAATGTATTGCTGGTAATAATTTTTTTACAAAGTATTTCTAGTATAAAAAACTTATTTTTACACTTTCATTGTGTTTTGAACCCAGTTTAGGGGTTAACTATTTGTCTATTGCTGGGACCCTAACAGGTGCTACCACACCGGGTCAGGGTGGACCTGGGAACATGAGCAATTAAGAGGTGGTTCCATGCTCGTCAAACCTTCTGAACTGAGGCCTTGCTGTTGGATGTAGTTTATCATCATACCCAGGATTTTAATCATTGGCATTTCTGATAGAAATGAAAACAATTTTAAAATTATTTTTGCACTAATACCAAAGTGCTATCTCTTGATATGAAAGATGAATTTAGTATAATATAGAAATTTATTTTGACTGGTTTGGAGTGGGGTGGGGGTATTGTTGACAAAAACGTTTGTGCCCAAAGGGATTGCTGGTTGAAAAAGGTTGGAAAACAAGGACCTAAATAGCAACAAAGAAAACGAAACCAATTATACAGTATGGAAGATTTGCGTACAATTTAGTCAAGCACAAGTCCAGAAATATAAAAGAATGAATTCACTATATTGTAGTTGTAATGTTTTGCAAGATGATTTCCCTGACCATTACTCAAGGGCAAGATGCTCAAATGTCTTCCTATAAAATGATGGTGTCTCCGTTTTTCTCTAATTGCAGATGGGAAATAATATTTGAGAGAAATGCATCAACAAATTTGGGTTGATAACTGGTTTTGATTTCTGGGGTTGGATTGAGTAGCTTACTTCCTGGCAAGCTATCCATTGTTGTTATAATAAAAGGTTTGCTAAAGTGATTTTGGCCAGATGGTAGGTAAATGAGGATTCTCTAAAAAAAAAAAAAAAAAAAAAAAAAAATAATGGGATTATTGTTTTTTTTCTTTGGTGGGGAAGGAGAAAATAAAGAAAGTTCAAAGAAAGAAGAGGGTTCCTCATATTTTTACAGGGCAATACAATGCTTTAAAAGAACCTCACTCAAACTGACTGAGGGGTGGGAATTCTATTTGTCTCAGAAAAGTTGAAATATTATGTGTAGTTGCTGGATATAGTTATTTGCCTTGTGTGGTACAAGGTCAAAATAGTGGAGCCTCTGTGAGAACTGAACTCACAACTGTGATTAATAGATGAAAATCGTTGGAAGAAGAGAGGTAACCTTAAGTTCTGGTTACGGTATATTGTGAACAATAAAGATTTGTTGACCCCAAAATATATAACAGTATAAGAAAGATGAAATCCAAAGAAGAATCTGCAATATTATTGGTCCTAACCTGGCATCTCAGCTTCAATCACTTTCCCATTGCCGTAATGTACCTTCCCTGTGCCTTTTCTATAAATACTTTCATGGTAACTGTTCAGATGAATTCTTCACTATGGCACCTAGACTTTATGAATGCAGTATTAGATTAGGGACAAGAGTTGTTGAGTTGGCTAGATGTAACCATAAGTTTTATGCTAACAGTTTCTTTTCTCATACTTCTTGCTTGTGGAACTCTCTTCTGGATTCATGCTTTCCATTCAATATAATTTTCTTGTCTGTTTTTTATAAATAATTTCATGGTAATTGTTCTGATGAACTTTCCTCTATGGTACCTAGACTTTATGAATTTAAGCGCAGTATTAGATTGGCTGTAAGGTCTCATCATTTTGCAGCTGAATTGGCTAGATGTTACCGTAAGTTCTATGCTAACAGTTTCTTTTCTCTTTTATCCCTCCTTGCCTGTGGAACTCTCTTCCGGCTCCATGCTTTCCAGTCAACTTTAATTTTCAAAAATTTAAATGCAATGCCAATCGTTATCTACTGTCTTCTTGATTACTCTTCTATTGTTCTTGCTCAATTTTTGTTTTTGGAACCTTCTTCCAGCTTTTCAGTCAACTTTGATCTTCAAGAATTTAAATGCAATTTCAATCATTTTCTACTGTCATCTTGATTCCTCTTCTTTTATTGTCCTCACTCCTTAAAAATGTTTATCTTTTTTCTTATTCTTTCACACTCAGTAACCCCTCGTGTCTTAGTGGTTTTACTGCCTTGCTTGAAGTAAAATGGTTAAAAATAAAACAATTCATTCACATTTATATTAATTTAATTCTAGAAGAAATTAAAAAAAAAAAAAAGACGAAAATTTATTTTAATGGTTTCTGATCATTCAATTTTTTTTAATTTTTATGAAAATCTTATTTTACAGAAATTGGTGAAAGCAATAAATTTATCATTAAGATTTTATTTTTTTTAAATTTATTTGAAAAAATTCAGTATTTGTCCAGATTAGTTTAATTGGTTAAATGCCTTGGGATAAGGGGGGGGGTCAAAAGTATTGGAGAAGTGGTAAAGGGAGAGATAACAATAAACTCTTTTCTTTCTTTTTAAATTATTATTTTAAGATTGGAGAAAGATGAGACTAAAATGAAAAACCTGCAGAAGTTTTCTAAAAAGGAAATTGGTTTGACTTTTGGATGGGGAAGGAATCATTTGAATTGGTAAACAGTTCTTGGATATAAATATTCATACAATGACACTTTACCCTCCATTCCAGAACTTGAGTGCTTGCAATTTCAAAATAAATATAAAACGAAATAAAAGTTTACCAGTTTTATACCTTTTATCAGGATCTTGTATTTATTAAGAAAACATTTTTATTGCAGCCTTTTAGTTTTCTTTTTTTGTTTACGTCGGGTGACAATTCTGTCGGCTTAAGTGAAATAATAAATATGTATTTGATTACATCAAGTCTTGTTTTCCTTTGGAATAGAAAATAAATTACTCAATACAGTTTTTATAGGAACACCCGTTTATTTTGACTGCAGACCTTATACCATATACCATATAATAGACCTATTCTGTCAGTAATGCTTGCATTAATTCCTGATCACTGACAATCCCTTGCTTTTGGATTTTCACTGCAATGCGAAATTAGGAAATAAGAACTAAGAGGGAATTCAACCAACTTTTGCGATAAAAAGCAACAATAAGATAAAGAACAGACTAACCAAAAATTTAGCATGATAATCCGTCATCTTAGGATTGGAAATAACCTAAGACAAAATAAATTAATCAAATATCTTTCATATATTCAATCAAAATTGAATGGCTGCCTGAAGCAGAACCCCACCCCATACATTTGGCCTTACTTCTAGACCTGAAGTCAGGCTCCCCTCCAGGAGAGATCTTCTTGACTGAAGGGTCCTTAAACTCAGAAAAGATCAACAAAAATGAAAGCATCTTTAGGGAGAGTCAGCAATGCATCCATGCAGGGTTGCTTAGCAACCCGATACAGTGAAGCAGGGCAAATTAAAATAAGCACTTATCTGTGTAACACATTCGCATTCTCATCAACTTGTGTTGATGTACGAGGTCCCCCCCCCACAAAATATGATATGCAGATCGTCTTGTGTCAAGTTCTTACTTGCAATGCTTCATTACACGGACGACTAACCCTGTCCACTCCATTAATTTATACCTTAAGTTAATCAATGCATGACCTTTTTATTTCTTGCCAGATTCCGTGAGGGTCGGTAAAAGCAGCCAAAAAGAAGTACGATGAGAAAAAGGTGTTGGGTGTTGAGAATTTCAGGGGTGGGGAGGTAAGAAGATGGTGGAACCAAGTTTGGGGTTTAGTGTATACGAATGTCTTGTTGAAGACACCTTGGCTGCTTTTCTCATTGTTGTAACTCTGAAGTTAGACGTTTTTGTTACCATCCATTATATTATTTTAAGGATAATTTGAAAAACTTTTCACTATTATTATTATTACTGTTATTATAAAACTCCAACAATAATTATTACTACCTCTGTCCCATAATAATTGTTCCAGTTGCATATACATTTCATATGCTAAATGTAACAGCTATTAAGGGACAGTTATTTTTTTTTAATCAATTTAACCAAAGCAAGGCAATAATATCACTGAGATACAAGTGGCTACTTGAAGTGAAAGAGAAGGAAAGACATTAGAAGGAACCAGAAATCTGATCTTAAACATAAAATAAGGGATAAACCTCTACTCCTGTTCAAAAGATTAGAAAGGAGTGGGAACCAGATGATCAGTGAATCTGTCTATTTCTATTATGGGAAAAAACCAACAAAATAAAAAAATAAATAAAATAGTAAGAATTTCAGAGTTTAGGCAGAGATGTAAGAAGTATAGAGTTGATATAGGATTTAGAAGACATTAGAAACCCAATCTTAAACAGGAAATAAGGGATAAACCTCTACTCCTGTTCAAAAAGATGGTGAGGAGTGTGAACTAAACAATAGATGATTGCCATCCATGTTTTTATTTTAATCCTTCTTATTGTAGTTACTTTTTCATAATAACAATATCTGTGAAGCATGTGAGAGTTGTACCCATCATTATTTGAGCACTATAATCAGTCCTGAAGATTCTTTCAAAAGTGTTTGAGAAATTGAAAATCTCATAAAAATGAGACCTATTAATATCCACTGTACTGACCAACTAATGTAATGATCTGTTAATGATAACTGTAATGGCCAATTAATGTCCACTGTAAAATCCACTATTAATTATGAAAATTAAAATAAAAATCCAGTATTGATTATAGGTTTCTAAAGATATCTGCAATTAATTTATGGCTTCATAAAAATCCCTGTCCTCATCTTTTTTGTTTTTATCACAATATTACAGCTTTTGTACCCTCAAGTTTTCTTCAGGTAATAATTAAAGGTTTCAACCTATAACCTATGCCCATCATTCTATTTTAAGGATATTGGACAATAAACTAATCTAGAAAAAAAATGTCAAAACTGTTTAAATAATTTATTCTATAATATAAAACACGTGGTTTTATATATTTATTAGTTACACAGATCTTGCTATCTTAATAATGAGATATTCCGTTTCTATGGTAACAGAACATTACTTTATGCCAATATGCAAACATGCTTCATGTTACCATGATAACAACATATATTGTATATAAGTAGAAGAGACCAGGCTACTAATACAGGCTTGTTATTTTTTTTGTTTGATGTGAGTTTTCTTCAGATATGTATATGAGTGAAAGTAAACAATTATTGATTCCTTGGAGCATTGCTTAACTTCAGAAATCAAGAAGACCAATGACCAAATTTGGTTTACTAAGATTTCTGCAGTCTGGTATGACGGAAAACCAACTTTGGTTTACTAAGGCTTCTGCAGCTACTCATATGAAAAATATCTCTTAGAGCATTGCTTAACTTCAGAAATCAAGAAATCCTATGACCAATGACCAATTTTGGTTTACTAAGGTTTCTGCAGTCTGGTATGACCAAAAACTAACTTTGGTTTACTAAGGCTTCTGCAGCTACTCATATGAAAATTATCTCTTAGAGCATTGCTTAACTTTAGAAATCAAGAAATGCTATGACCAATGACCAATTTTGGTTTACTAAGGTTTCTGCAGTCCTTCATATAATACTGATCCTTTGGAGCATTGCTTAACTTCAGAAATCAAGAACGGGAACTACCAACTAGATATAATTGTGTACTTGCCCGTGGCTCAAGTCAATTTAACAAAGCAACCAGTATTACAAAGAATGCTAATGAATTTGACAAATCTAATTTTTTCGGTTTGGAAGGCATTTTTGTGTGTAAAAAAAAAAAAAAATGAAGAGACTTTTCTTTTATATTTGCTATTTTTCCAGGGCAATGAAGATTGATGGGGTTTGAAATATTATTATAATAAACCCTTATCTCCCCTAGGGGTTTAGCTTTTAAAAGAGGGAATTATTTATTGTTATTATTATGCTTAGTAGTAGTAGTAGTTTCATGAGAGACAGATGCTGAGTGGTTTGACCAGACAGGGAATTGTTTCTGTCCAAACTATTCTATACCAACCCCTTAATTTTCTCACCAAGCTAACCATCAGGGATGTCAGTCATTAGTTTGGACACTTATGAAGTTGGGTGGAGTCAGAGAAGGGGGTGATATATAAAGAGAGGTGAAAATGACTGTTTAAAAAGAAAAACTAAAAAAGTAATAATATAAAGACAAATAGAAAAGAAAATTATTCTGAAAGAGAGAAAAGAAATTTGAAAATATTGAAATGGTTCAAAAAAAGAAAAGAAAAAAGAGGAAGAAAAGAAAAAAGGAAGAAAAGAAAAAAAGGAAGAAAAAGTAAAGGGTTAAAAATGGCAAGAACAAATATTTGCTTCACACTTCAATAATAAAAGTTGTTAACATACCATCTAATATTGATTTGGTGTTTACTGTGGATAAGGAAGCTAAGAATTAGCAAGAGTAAAATTTTGCCCTGGTTTTATTTATTTTTTTTAATCTTTCTAGACATGGAAATTCCTTCCTGGCATATCTGCTTTCTTTCAACACTTTCCATGACTTTGGTATACACCTTAAAACTTGACTCATGTTCTAAAATAGCCTCGTCAGATTGTGACTTTCATATGGATGTCACATATAGCATCAAACCAATTCAGAAATATCTAAACTGTCAGCTGTAAATAAACACATTCTCAGATTGATGGTTAAAAATGGCTTTGAGTGTATGAAAGCCTATGGGTCTTGGCTAAGACTTTCAACAGCAGCAACAGCTAAAATGGATGGTACATGTAATTTAAGGAGAAAATGATGGCATAATCAAGATGTTGACATTCCACACTACTTCAAATAAAAGATTAGGGAGGAAGCTCCCATCAATAATGAAAAGAGATATAACAGTTACTGGACTTGAGAAATCTATTTTCTAGAAAAAAAAATGTTTTAAGAGGAAGATTTTATAAATTTCAACCAAAAGTGGAGTAAGAGTAAAGGCAGTGGGCAATAAAAAAATGCACCAAAATTTTGCCTCTATGTACCAAGTTCTCAAATGTATTTAGTGTTAAAATACAGTTGTGAGTAAATACAAAGAGGTGCTGAAAAGTTCTCTGCTCAACCAAGAACAAACTCCAAAATAAATTTTGATGTTTAGTCATTTAGTAAGTTGGTCAGGCTGACAACATCTTAGTTCCATTATGCACTTTAAGAAACATAAAAAAAGTAATTAATATTAATGTTTCTAAACAAGACAATAAGAAAATAATGAAATTTTTAAATTAATTTGGTACTCTAATAACTATATAAACTGATTGATTAGTTTGTTTTCTACAGTTTATCAACCCATTGCAAGTTATTTAAAGCCAGAAAATATTTTTTTTACATTTTTAAATAATAATGGTTTAATGATACATGTCTTAATAATTAACCCATAGCTGGTGGGAGAAGAGGGGGGAGTGATACATTTTCCAAGGGTGTTTGGGTATACACCACATTCACATCCAAGCTTACAGCTCTTGGTATTCCCAAGTGGTCACCCATCTAGGTACTGACCAAGCTTGACATTGCTTAGCTTTGGTGGACATATAGGAACCAGTGATATGGCCATAAGCCTGTACCTATGAGTAAGGCTGTAGAATGCATTGGTTGAAATGCTATGACAAAAATATAAGCAACAAAGAAAATGATGCCAAAAACTCTTGAAATGGTCCTGATTCCATCACAATATAGCAAAAGGATATCTTTGTATCATACTTGAATGGAAAGGTACCAATTCATTTGGATCTTTGCATCTTTCTCAGTTTATAAATAAAAAGTGTCTTGAAATTATCATTGATTTTTAAGTTTTCATTTTTTCTTCTTCTTCTATGTACCATGTCTCTTTGGGATGTTGACAATCATGGCTCTACACAATTTCCTGTCCTTTGTAGCTCTTAATATATTTTGTTTTTTGATATTGCTCCTAAACCTTGTTCTGCCATCCATTTACTCAAGCTCATTAAATAGGTTATGAGTTATTTTCCTCTGTCCCTCTTGCCTTCAATCTGTCCTGTGAGTATCAGATTTTCCAAGCCCGCTTTCCTACTTCTGTTTAAAAGCCTCTTCAAGTGCATAGAAAACTTATATTGAACAAAAAGGGCAAAGAACTGAGAGCAACTATGATCACACTTCTTCTATGATGATCATGGCTCTCCACAATTTCCTGTCCTTTGTAGCCCTTAGTAAATTTTATCTTATTATTATCTCTCCTAAATCCTGCTCTGCCATTCATTTACTCAAGCACACTAAGTAGGTTATGAGTTATTTTCCTCTGTCTCTCTTGCCTTTAATTTGTCTTATGAGTATCAAAGTTTCTTAATAAAGTTTAACATTTTGCTATCTCTCCTAATCCCCGTCATGCCAACCATTTACATAAGCTTATTAAATAGGTTATTTGATGCTTTCTTCTGCCTCTCTTACCTTCAATCTGTACTTTGAGTGTCAAATTCATCAAGCCCTCTTTCCTCATTATGTGCCCTAGAAATTTCAACTGTCTTTTTCTAATGTTAAGTATGTGTCCTTTTTGCTTCCATTTTCTCTAAAACTTCATTATTGCTCACATGTTCAACATCCTTCTGTGGAACCACATTTCTGTTGCTTCAAGTCTTTTCTTCATCTCTGAGGAAATTGTTCAGCATTCACTGCTGTATAGGAGGACTGCTACTACATAACAGTTCAATACTCTTTTCTTTATTTCTAATGAAGTTTTTATGTTTCTTAATACTTTGCTTAGCTTTTGGAACACATTTTCCGCTATTCCAATGTCACACTTTCCAGATATTTAAATTGTTGTCCTTGCTTGATTTTGGCATCTCCAATTTGTAATTTGTATACTGGGCTGTTCTTTTTCCTGACAATAATGCATTCTATCTTTTTGCAATTGGTGTTTAGTCCTTTCTTCTCATTTTCCTTCACTACCTTTTGTAGGAGGTCTTGTAGTTTTCCTTCCAGTCTACTATCAACACCGTGTCTTCTGCACATCTTATACTGTTAAGATTGTGGCCACCAATAATGTATCCTGGTAGGAATCCTAATTCTCTCAGAATTGCCTCGCTGTATAGGTTGAATAAGTCTGGTGAGAAGACACACCCTTGTCTTACATCCTTAGTTTTCTATGATTTTTGTATTTTCTCTCGACATTTTTTTTCCATTTATTTTGATACAAGGAAAAATTAATTCTTCATTCAAGACGCCTTTTTATTTTTTTTGCTTATACAGATTTGAAGACTTGTTGGGGGGGGGGGGGTTGCGATCACTTACAACAGACATGACACTTTTACCAGCAACAAGTGAAGCCAATATTTGATTTTAAAAAAAATGACAACATCTCCAATGACCATCTAAATAATGAGTGATGTTAAGGAAAAAAAATTATAATGATTACCATCTGAACTCTTGGATGAAGAGGTAAAAATCTGTGGAGGTAGAAAGGTCGGGTAGAAACAAATTGTATCACCTTCTCCTTCTTTATGCCATGTCAATTCAGAATATGGTTGATCATGGCTCTCCACAACTTCTCATCCTTTGTAGCTCTTAGTAAGCTTTGCCTTTTTTTTATCACTGCCAATCACAAGCTTGTTATGTAGGTTATTTCCTATTTTCCGCTATCCATTTAATGTGAGTGTCGACTTTTCCAAGCCCTCTTTCTTCATTACATGTCCTAGAAATTTCAACAATCTCTTTAATTTGAAACAACTTTCAAATTAAAACCAAAAGACTATTACCAATTTGACAACATAAAAGAAAATATATAACATGAATAAATTCCTTCTGTGTGAAGCTCTCTCTCTCTCTTTTCTTTCTCTTTCTCTCATTATACTTTATCTCTCATTTTCTTTCCTTTTATATCTTTTTATTCTTCTCTTTTTCCTTTTCTCTTTTTCCCTTTCTTTTAATTTCTTTATTTGATAAGTTTTGAATAGACTGGTAAAAGGTGTTCTTGTATTCCTAAACAGTCACCCATCTGCATACTGACCAGGTATGAAACTACTTAACTTTAGGCATAAGATAAAAACAAATAGCTTCAGAGGTATTTGAGTCAAATGATTTCTCTCTTTCATCCTCTTTACTTTTGATTCTTTCTTTCTCTTTCTCTATTTCTTTCATTATTCTTTGTTTCTCTCTTCTCTATTTTCATTATTCTTTGTTTCTCATTTCTCCCTCTCCATGAGTCTTTCTCCTTTCATCCTTTCTTTCTCTCATCATGATTCTTTTTTCTCTTTGTTTAATTTTCAGTCCTTTCCTTTTTAACCTACAACCTTTCCTTTCTCTCTCTCCTTCCATATTCCCCTCTTTCTCTCTTACTATGATACCTTTTCTCCTTTAGTCACATTTTCACTCTTTTCCTTTCTAACTCTCAGCCTCCTCTCTCACTCCTTTAATTTCTGATTTACACTCTTTCCTTTCTCTCCTTCCCCTCCTTTCTCAGTCCATATCTGTCTCTATTCCTTTCTTTCTTCTTTTTTTTATTAAGCTTTCTCTTAACTTCTCTCTATCACTACCCATCCTCTTTCTCTCTCCCCTTTTCTTTCTAACTTACACCTTTCCCTTTTTCTCACACGCTTAGAATTTCTTTCAAATTATTTCAAAGTTATTCTATCAAACATTCACATGACGTCAAATCAGACTTTTTTTTTTTTTTACAGTCCCTTCACACATCTGATTCACCCATGAGAACTAAATGAAATTATCGTTGAAAAAAAAAAAAAGAAAAAAAAGAGAAAAATAACACACTTCAAAATAGATAACCCCTAAACGCATTCCTAAATTAGATTATGAGGCACATCAACTGATAGTTGTCTTCTAAATTTTCAAGAGCTGAAGACCAAAATATTGACAAATTCAAAACCAGACATTTTTGGTCAAGGAAAAAAAAAAAATCCAAATGTAGACATGAAATAAATGAAATTATACACATGCCACATCACTGATATTATTCACTTCTTTCTTTTGTGTGTGTGTGTGTGTGTGTGTGTGTGTGTGTTTTTCTTGCAATATTTAAACATCGTGAATACTGATGATTTTACAAGTACAGGTTGGTAATCAGTAATCCTGTTTAGTCATTGACCTACAAAAGTAATTTCAGAATTCCTGGGTTGCCACACGTGACATGCCAATACTGCATTTTTTATTATAACCTGCCGATATTTAGCTGCCTCAATGTTTCCAGTCATGCTTGTAGAAGTCAAATGACTTACCTGCTAACATGGCCGCCTTCTGTATCTCCTTCAAAAGGCAAGACAACTAATTCTACCTCATTTTATAGGAGAGTACCTAATGCAGCAGGTGGGTTAGTCCACTTTTCTGGAATGGACCTGCCCAACACATTTGCATGAGTGGACTCTATTCACCCATATATCTCTCCATTAAATGACTCAGGTCATTTCAACTTGAAGGGGCTACACCAGTCTACAAATAACCATTGATGGGAGATAGCTGGGCAAATAGTAGAGATGCTTCCCAACCATCAATATAGGATTAGAATTGCAGGTAGAATAACCCTGTGGGACCGTAGGTTCCTAAGGAAACTTAAAGCGCTCGTAATCGAGACCCCTATATCAAGTGCCTTGCCTGTGTCGCCTGAGCTGACAATTACAGATATGTGTAGACCACATCAATCTGCCAAAGAATCAGGAAGTGGTGGCATTACATTGCGAAGTGACACAAAACATACATAACAAAAGTACTGTCATGTTGTATTTGTTCAAAATAGCCAACAATTAGGAAGGCCATAGTTAGAATATCGAAGGACCAGAAGATGAGATAGAGGAAACAAAGAAGTTTATTAAATACTCATACATAGAACAGAAATACTTGAGTAAATCAAATACTACTCAAATCCTACTCTAACGTGGCTACTTGCCATATTTATTTCCATTGTCACAGTTGTAGGAAATAATAGAAACTATGTCCTACTCTACAATACAAAAGGTGAAAGGTATTTTCCAAGGGGACTCTCTATTTTATTAATATTACTACCAATGAAAATACCTATTTTGTTATTACTACCGCTACTGTAAAAAAATACTATTGTAACAAACTAGTGACAACATTCATTGCTGGTATCAGCTAATATGAAATCAAACACTTGTAGTGTAGTCATTTTTTAGACCTGGGAGATATTTGTTGAGTCATTTTTTAATAGGTCTTATATACCATTGAGGATGTTAGTTTTTTAAAAAAATATTTATAAATTTTCTTTCTACAAAATGTTTTTTCCAGTTGCAAAATCATCTTTTATGATCAACACCATTATTTTGGAACTGGAAAAAAAAAAAAAAAGAAAAAAGAAAGAAGATTGGGCTTCTGGGTAGGTGGGAAGGATAGACCATTCATCCCAATTATATTCAGCTAGAAATAACTACCCCAAACCCTCAAGTAATGGTGGAGAGGGGGGAGATCTCCTCATTAAACTGTCCATTGCTACAAGTTGAGTCCAGAATAGAAAAAGCTTAAGAGACGAAAGAGGATAATTTTTCCTTCACTGACCAGTCCTTATGGTGCCTTTTTGACATCTATAAATTCATCCGTACTTTTCTAGCTAAAAATAAAAAATAAAACAAA